ACGGTAGATGACTTTCCCTAATGCTACAGTCACATTTTTGAGCATCTTTTGTGTAGTAAAGAGAGCCGAAGAAACGGGAAATGAGAAGGTAGGCTGTTAGCCTCCGGGCTAGAGCACGTCTCCTGTCATACGCCCAAGGTCTCCTCTCCTGCAGCACAGCTAGGGAGATCCGCACAATGAGGCGGGCAGCATGAGCTCGTGGAAGAGGACAGCTCTTGCTTGGAGAGGCAGCCAGAGGCAAGGTGCGGCTCCCTCCCTCACAAGCAAGCCAAAGGGAACCACGACAGGCTGGACGCTGCAGCGAACAATCTTTAATCAAGTATGCAATATACAAAAGTTTAGCTTTCATGTAGATTAATTTCAGTATTAAAAGGCTGATTGCTCAGTCTCACCCTGGGCGTGTTAAATATCTTACCTGAATTTCTACAAGAGGAAACGGAAGCCTAGAGCGTCAGCACAGACAGGTACAAATAACTTACATGATAGTTCTGCTCTCCCCGTGCTTTATTTTCTCAAGAGAAGGCCCAGGAGCCTCAAACAAGAGGGTTGGTTTTTGAGTCAGGCTTTTGGCTTTGGGAAGTTAGAAAAACAGACTAGGTACACAATTAAAAAATAGACTTTCTATTCAGAGTGGGGAGCAAGAAACCTTTGGGTACCAGTCAGAGTGAACACCACCGTTCCCACAGCATCAGGGGCTTCCTTGTGGCAACTAGGCCATACCCAGGAGTGGGAGCCCAGCTACGTAATGGGAGGTTACAGCGCGAGCAGGGATGCTACTAGACCTCCTCATCTACAGCTGGGGCGGTTTGGCACAGATGTTGAGTCCATCGAGAACGAGGTCTAAGTAGAGGGTTTCACACGGGCTGAGCCAGACTTTGAGCTGAGGAGCTTCTCCACCATGGTGCGAGCATAGCGGAGCCGGCTGGCCAGCTCCTTGCAGCAACCGTGTTCCTCGATGAGGCTCAGCTTGTACGTGCGGAAGTCCCGTTTCTCATCTATGTATGTGACAGCAGCCATGAGAGGGCACAAGATGACTTTGGTGTGGTCCTGTGGGGAGAGAACACACCGTCACCCTGAGCACTCTGCTCCTTGGGGACCACGTTTTTCTCAGGATGAACCACCTCTGAAGTAGTTGGGGCATCCCAGCTGCACCCAGAAGCATGCTGACAAAGCACCGCGCTGCAGCATTCGTTCACAGATTGCAGCAAAGGGGAACAAATGGATCTGGCCAGCCAGCTCAAGACCACCGCACCCGAGACTGTGCAGCAGCCTGCCTCCTGCTAACGGACACAGCCCCTTCACAGGCTAGGAGCGTCTGGGTGGCTTACGTACCAGCAAGGGGAGTAAGGAGCCTCGCAGTGCTCGGTTCACCGGGCAAAGTTTCAGCGCAGGTTACGTCCTCCGGCTGTCTTGCGTACAGCACTGCGTGTAGCAGGGCTCCTTCACCGGCTGGAGCTACAGCCCTGGAAAACGCGGAGTAGCAGCCTCACCTGGAAGAAGTTGATCTGCACAGTGCCGTTGCTGAGGTGCAGGATGATGGCGCTGCGGGTCCGGAACCACGTGCAGAGGTAGGGTAAACGGGCCAGCTCGTCTCCTTCCCGTGGCGTGATGTTCGCACCCGCCTTCAGCAAGTGCTCGCTCATGTAGTTCCGGAAGTATTTCAATAGCGTTATCTGCAGACAGGAAAGGCTGTGAGCAGACAGGCTGAGGGTGACCCCTGCTATTTGGGGAGGGCAAGGGCCGCTATCACAGTCCCAGAGCCTCCTTGCATCTTTCAGAACTTGAGGCGTCACTGCACAAACTTGTGCAAATTCTCAAAGTTAACTTGGTCTGTGATACCTGAGACTCACTTTGCTGAACACTTTGGTACATGCAAGTCTTGTGAGCGCTTAATTCTGTGAAGCTGCTCGTAAGCGAGCCTCAGATAGCAGCTAGAAATGAACAGTTAGAGCTGCTAGTGTCTGTCCTTGGGGCCATGTTTTACCAGCCAAGAGGAAGCCTGCAGAACGCCAGCGACCCCAGGTTACAGATGATCCTCTCTGGGACCCACCCTGCCAACAAAACCCAACGAGGCTGGCAGAAGCCTCAGCAGGAGTAGCTACCCCCCAGCAAGGGCTCCTGTCCCCAGGACTGACCTTCTTGTTCAAGGCAGAGGGGTAGGATCTCACAGTGAAGTAGGACTCGGTGCTGTTTTGCTCGATGTACTGCAAGCTGTCCCCGTCATTGTACATAATAAGACGAGTGGAGTCGTTGAAGAGAACTCCAACGCTGTTGTCACACAGCTGGTAACCTAGTTCAAAAGGGAGCCCATTAGGCCTTCAAATACGTGGGACCACCAGTTGTGTGAAATACAAAGGCAGAAGGCTGTGTCACCTAGGGCTTCCCTGGCAGCCACCCCACCGAGTCTAAAGATTCTCCTCCTTGTGGAGGTCTGGGTGGCACTTTTCCTCCTCCGGATTTGTCACACTCCCTTGTTACATCACCTGCTGCAGAAGTACCCACTGTGGCAACTAAAGTTGCATGTGCTCACTGCGGAGCGAGGCCAGCCATCTCATGCAGCAGGTAGCCATTTTCCACCTTAAAGTGGCCAGGGCTGACGTTCAGTGACCACTACTCTGGGTGCACTGGGTATTTGGTAATGTTCCCGGTGGTGAACACTGGAATGCTGTGATTGAAGAACCAGACCTACGCAACGCCCAAATCAAAGCTTCCCCCAGCCTCTTCAGAAGCTAGAAAAGGCTTGCCCCCGTATTGTTTACCTAGACCATATTTATCCGAGTAGTCCACCCATTTGCTAACCCAGAAGATGGGAATGCAGGCTGGGTCTTCAG